GTTTTCTAGTGGTTTATTGGAGATAAGAGTCTCACGGACTTTCCTGCCCAGGCTGGCTTTGAACCGTGATCCTCAGATCTCAGCCTCCTGAGTAGCTAGGATTATAAGCATGAGCCATGGGCACCTGGCATGAACTTATTTTAGATATTCTAGTCAAGGACATTCTATCCCATTTCCATCTAAAGAAAGATCCTCAGAAACTTCACATTTAACCAAGGGTCTCCAATATGAAGAGTTATTGAGCCTCATATCACTGCAAAAATTATGTCACATATCTGTTATTCAACTGAAAGCAAATACTGTGAAAAAACAAATATTTTGAAAAAATATCCTGAAAAATAATTAATTGTGTCATCTAGCCAGGAATCTATGAGAAAACCAGTCTAAAATATTAGCCTCACTGCTAATCTCTCTCCTACCCTAGAATATTCTCATACTATAATCAGTAAGTTTGGGTTCTAGGTTCAGATTTTCTACCACTGATTTCCATTGCCCACATGAAGAGAACTTTTAATTCTTGGGGAAATTGACTTTTTTATTTCTTTTGGCGTGCGAGGATTCAACCCAGGGTCTCATATGTTTGCTAGACAAGTGTTGTACTACTGAGGTATACCTACAGAATGGAAATTGGTCTCTGAAATTTCTACTGGGTTAATGATTTTCCTTCCAAAATCTAGAGACTTTATACTGAATAATGGACATTTGTATTTGTCTTAGTGCTTTGGGGCTGGGTAGTAATTTCCCTTGCCTGAAACAAATATATCTAATTTATAGTTGTTTCTGAAAGATTATATTATGGTGTGGCATCATAGGTGTGTTATTTCTTCACTTGAGTGAATCTTATGTGTTCATTATAACTTGACTTCATCATCATCTGCAGGAGATCTTGCCTAGCCTGTTTTAGCAAGATGTCCTAGCTCTTGGTTCTCATGGCTTCATGTGTAAAGTTGTAATACTGAATCTGTCACACCATATATAAATGATCAGCCATCCCCTCTCCCCAACGTTGGAGTATGGAATTGTTATTCTCATCTTAAAATCGCCAAGTCCCAAGACAATTTTTAGTATCTGATAAGAAGTCAGTAAATAAATCTAAGGAGCCGGGCGCTGGTGGCTCACGCCTGTAATCCTAGCTACTCAGGAGGCTGAGATCTGAGGATCGCGGTTCAAAGCCAGCCCGGGCAGGAGAGACCGTGAGACTCCTATCTCCAATAAACAACCACAAAACCGGAAGTGGCGCTGTAGCTCAAGTGGTAGAGCGCTCGCTTTGAGCTGAAGAGCTGAGGGACAGCACTCAGGCCCAGAGTTCAAGCCCCATGACCAACAAAAAAAATAATAATAAAATAAAAAATCTAAGGAGATGAAGTGAGAAAACAGATTGATGGGGATTCTACCAAAATAGTTTAAAAACTAATTTGTGGTTAATAATGGACTCACCTGTATTAACACAATTGACTAGCATGATATAATAGCAGTTGGAATTACTATCAAAAGCTTGTAGTGATGGGTATCATTTAATTTTTTTTAGTTATCTGCAACAAATTTACTATAATTTGAAAATACCTATAGTTTCTATAAGTGACAAAATATATTACTGATATTAGGGCTTATTGTCTGTATTTATAACTAAGGAATCATTAGGTTACAGTTAAAAGTAAATACAAATATAGATATTCCTTTTCTAAGTTTACATAACTTACCTCAACCCATGGACCTTCATGGACCTGCACAGGTAATGAAGCCCTGCATTTGGGAAATGAGAAAAGGCCCGATTGCTCAGTATGATGGCTTGGGCACTAGCCTGAGAGCAAGCCATGATATCTGTACAAAAGAGATTAAGTTGTTGGGGAGCCATTGAAAGATTTTAGTAAAAGATTAACAGTTGGGATATTGTTCAGAATACTTGACCATTATATGTGATAGAGCCTCTGACCAATCAGAACATGAACCAGCTGCCAACAGTCAATTCAGAGGCACCAGTACATATCAGTTATCCTAGGAATGGGGAATTAACAAATCACAGCCATTATTTTGGGAGAAATATGCAGCAGGATATTAGAAAGCAATGAAATTGTAAGTAGGCAGACCATTTATATACCCCCCCCAAAAAAAAGGGCCAGTGGGTTTGGGGATGGGAAGATTTAGGTGGTAAAAGCAAAGGCACTTGGTGTGAATAAAGATAGTAATGGAGATGGAGAAATCTAGGATTATTTCTGTCTGTAGATTTGGTAACACGGAAAGGAGAATTAGCTTAAAGGTTTGGAAGGTGGCTGGCTGAGAGAGTAGTTTATTTTGGTACTTGGGTTTGAGATACCTATGGGACATCCAGGTGGGCACATGCCTGACA